ATTTTTTGTGCTTCACCACGTATATTTGTCACTATTTAAAAAGAAAAAATAAGGTTGTAATAATTAAGAAATTGTATGGAATAAATGATCAATGTTAAAAGATTCATAACTTTTAAAAGAAGCACTATGCAACCAAATAAGTTGGAGATTAAAACTAGGACATCATATAGTATCTATCGACAAAAGATCATCGCAATCGAACGATATCATGTAGGAACCTTCCTTTCTAAATGAAATCCTATCGGTCAGATCTCAAATCTACTAAATATGGTCATCGGATCGGATTGGCGGATGAGTGCCGATATTTGATCAATTCTAGTGTTTTCTGTTTATATCCGATTACTTTATCTCATCAATTTCAGTTGGATCCGTGTTGTCAAAAGCAATTAGATCCGATATGTGCCGATGCTAAAAAATAAACGGATTCTATCATGAAATGTTTTTTTTGATTTTCATTTATTACGATGAAGCCCAGCAATTTTCTGGCAGCAGAACATTTTAGATCTCATCCGATCCGATCAGTTTCATCTATCGGTTTCGATTCATCCAGACTACGAAGATCCAATAGAACCAATTGGTTCCCGTAACCGCATGTTAACGAAAAGCGTCGAGAATGATGAAATTCCAACATCCGAAAATCTAAATTCATAGTTCGCCAATGATCATAAGCTATCCTTAAGGGCGTCCTGTTAGAAACTCATTTTTGTCAAAAATATCGATTTTTGAGCTTTATACCTGGTTGAATAGTGTATATTTTCTGCTTTCGAACTCTCTATAGTTTCTTGGTTTTTAAGATAATTTTGAGAAGTTTCTGACGATTTTTTACATTTTTCTAGAGCTTTTCCTGTAAGCTTCACAAGAGAAAGTTTCTTGACAATTTTCAGTTATTGAAGCCCTTTGACTCGTTTGTAGGTTTTCTAGCTTCGAAAACGTAGCCTGCAAGCTCCAGCAAATGTATTCTATTCATTTCCTTGAAATAATCTCTCTTACTTCGTGGGAGTCGAACTATGTATCTTCTGCTTACCGAGTAGACACACTACCATTGCATTAAAAGAGGTGTCAACCTTTTTGTTTTATGGCTCCAAGTCAGCTCGACATGCGTAATATAAAATCTGTTTTCCAAATATTTTCCGAAGGAAAAATTGGATGAATTCGATGCGATTGGATAATTCGATTAGAAATGATTGAACAGAATCTCGTAGAGAATTGCGCGACGCGCCTTTTTAGAAAAAAAAGCTTCACTCTAAATGAGGAAAACGTGTCGAGATACTAACAAAATACTGAAACCACTATTCTTTATGCACCACTTGTTATATTGTGAAGAAGCATCGATTGTAGCTAATAATTTTAGTATACTATAATAACAAACACAGATGTTCGTGAACAAAAGACCAGACCAAAGTTTCGTGATTCCACTTTTTCAGAAAACTTCTTACTATAATATTAGCCAAAAGTTTAGAAAATATTACCAGTGCTTGTTCCCATGAGAGTACAGCTAAGCCTTTTATTGATTATTCATAGTCCATAAAAGGCCACACTAGATACAGTTTTGTGTCAAAAAAAGAACTGTCATTGAGAAAAAGGGATCCAACACAAGTCACGCATACTTTTTTGTATGTTGAAACCGTTGATTGCTTGTCAATACTGAACAAATCCGTTTCCTATTGCTTACACGTAGTTTCAACCAGCTTTCTAATTCTCGTCCACTATTATATGCCTCGTGAAATACTCTTCAAAACGGTATAAGAAAGTTCACTAATATACTATCTGTCATTGGATAACAGCCGATGGAATCATGTTGTCAAGTAGACAGAGCTTTTTAAACTATCTCGAACACTAAGTTTTATATTTCATTTTGATTTTTTATGAGCTTTTCTCTGGTAGAAACATACGATAACAAATATGAATTTATAGCAAATTTGAAAATCGATATAAGAACATTAGTTTAAGGAAAAATCGATATAGGAGTGCAACAAAGTTTCAAAGAATAGAAGTTATCTTTGTATTGTCTCTTTGCTGTAGACTGTTGTGTTTCTCGTCCCTTTTCAAGAACAGTTATACGATTGCACTCAGTATCATATTTTTCACTACAACAGCAATCACTGTTGCAAGCAACGATCAAGTCAACCATACATACTTTAAATTATGCAGTGATAGAAGTAGTTAGTGTTGAATAATGTCGAAGAACAATTTTAATTGAAAATGATTAGAGAATTCACAGGTTGTCAATCTACGTGACGATAAAAAAAACTGAGTAAAAAACACGAAGAGTACTAGCTTTTATCAGGTTCTCGCTGCGGTGAGCACTCATGCATGATCAAAAGAGAAAGATACATATGTCACCGCTCTCTCTCCATGACGAAAAAATAAGCAAGCAATCAGATATGAGAGCCAACAGCTACTCATTTTCTTGCGTTGTCTACATAACGAAGGCTCTGTTCTAATTAATGTTCGAAGAAATGAAAAAAAATGAAAAGGTCGATGCTCTCTCTCTTACTCTTCATGGTGAAAAAATAAGCAAGCAATCAGATATGAGAGCCAACAGCTACTCATTTTCTTGCGTTGTTTACATAATGAAGGCTCTGCTCTAATTAATTTTCGAAAAGACGAAAAAAAGAATATGAAAAGGTCGATGCCCTCTCTTACTCTCCATGGTGAAAAAATAAGCAAGCAATCAAATAAGGAAGCCAACAGTTATTCATTGTCTTGCGTTGTTCACGTAAAGAAGGTTCTGGTGAAACCAATTACTACTTGCACAATTTTTTCTGATCTGTATTTGGATCATTATGAATAGCGAAACAAAAGAAGCTTGAAGACGAACATTGCTCCAGTCATGCCTTATTAGATGGCCGTCTCTTATCTATATGCCAGAATTCTCGTTAGAGTTAGTCGAAGTAATAAGAAAATTGCTCATATTGAAAGAACAGCACAAATGCATGGTTAATAACGATAAGTAAATGATTGAACAATTAATTATATTTCTTGTATCATTCAAACATGTCGTTCAACTATTCCAAACGGAAAGTGTTCCGTCTCTATACATGGTACTGAGGTGTTCAAGCATCATAAAAGATGCATTATGATTATTCAAGGCCTTAATTTGTCACAACGTAACCTATGACAGTCAGGAAAAGAAAATGCCAGGTGACTAACTCTAGATCATCGACTGGATGATAAGATGAAATAGATGTAGCCATATACACTTCTAACAATAAGATACCATGGATGTTTATATATAAGTAAATAACACCAATGAGTTGAGCAACATAAATAAATTGTAAATAAACCAACAATTGATTTATCATATGATCTTTCTAAATGAAAATATTTTTTATTTTTAATTTCTTAATAAAATATGACAAAACATCAAAATGAAAAAAAATAGATGTTCTTTTTTGTCTTTAGGTTGAAATTTCGGTCATTGAGAGACCATGATCAGAACTAAATTGTAGTGTAGTTGAGTGTGATGTTGAATAAATGATATAGGTACAACATGTACGAGTAATAATATAAGTACAACATGTACTAATCATAGTAATGTTGTTAATTTTCCATACAATGGGCTATTTAATTTCAGTCTGAATTTATCAAATAAAAATAATACTTGATTTCAAACTGAAACGTGAGTCTAGGAGTGAGGGGGGGGGGTGACTGAGGGTGTGGGTGTTGGTCTCGGACCCACACACACATCCACACCCATGGTGCGGGTGTGGGCGCGCGAGTGAGGGTGAGGGTGTGCTTGTGGTTTTGTGTACTATAGGCTTTAGTCCCCTGCACAAGGGACTAAGCGGGGACTAAACTTTTTGTGGGGGGGACTAAGGGGGACTTTGCAGGACTAGGGGGACTAAGGGTTTTTAGTGAGACTACGTAGTATCAAGCGAGAAAAGTTTGATTCGGAAGAAATTGGTGTGGTTTTTTTGATTTTAGAATTCAGTTTGAAATAAAAAAGCCCATAGACTCTAATTTTCACATATCAACTAACATCAATACCAGTCGAAGCAGGATCAGAATTAATCATAATAATGAATTTTCATTTTGTTGTTTTGTCATATTTTATTAAGAAATTAAAAACAAGTAACCCTCGTCGCTGTGCGATTCGCTCAACCCTCGACTGAAGAGTTTAGAGCAACGATATACTATTCTACTTTGCCCGAGAAAACTTTGAGAATATGAAAAGTATAGAATCGCCTCTACCACAATAATGTTATCATTGACTTTGAAAATATGCGCAGCTTCAAATGATAGTAATATCTGCATATAAAATCGCTACCTGGCGCTAACATTTTGATTCAATTGAGTCTTGCAAAGATATGTATCGTAAAATTCTGATTCATGTATCACCGCTGTCGCAGCAATATCCTGAAATGCTGTGAGATTTTTCAAATGAAAACAATGTGTCTTTCAACACAAACTTACTGAGAATATGCAACAGCGACCACTCATATTAGTATTAGTTGATAACACTATTTTCTAGCAAAAGTAGTATTCTACGAGGCAAAATTAATGAACTGAAAGAAGCTGATTGCAATTTTCAGAACTGAATATGATTTCCCAAGACTTGTTCGGATGTGTCTCAGCCAAAATACATTTATACCAAAATACTAGCAGAAAAAATGCTTAAAGTGAAATATGATTTCATTGCTGAATTTATGGGCCATCCTAGTCACATAATAAAATGATTTAATTAGAAGTATGAGATAGTATTGTAGCAGAGTGTGTTTATTCGTGAAACTCGATAAATAATCATGAGTTACAAAGATATTAAATTTATAATGATAAAAAGGAATATGTGATGAATATATAGAACAAAAATAGTACCTGGATATTTCGCATATGATTTCATATGACGATAAAAAAAAGAGACTACTGCTAATACATGCAATATGAACAATAAAAAATATTCAAATGTATAGGTCATAGAGTAAGTAATGTAGAAAAGAAAATCATATGCATAAAATTGACACAAACGAGAGTAGTTTTCATGCAAAGCAGAAACAGTGTTACAACCATTCTGGAAAACGTGCTTGGGTCTCTAAATATAGTTTATCGAGTCGTTCAATTTCCGCCAGTTGTGACTTGCTGGGTTTAATTAACAACACCTTGTAATCGAAATATCGCAAAATCACCAAATCAGTCAAACGTTTTACCCTCGACAAGGGTACATAGACTGCAGCAATATCATCTGTTTCATTTGGCAGTTTTAAGTCAATTACAACTTTATTCAATGTTTGACCTTGGCTCTTGTGCGTTGTAATGCAATAAGCTGGTACAAGTGGTAAAGCACGCCGTTTAATCGATAAAACTGTTTTTCTATTTGATTTTGGCTTTTTATCTTTTGGAAGCATATCGCCTATATCGACTCGAAATGTTTGTTCCATTACCGGTATTGGAATTAACTTTGGCTGAAGTTGTTCTAAATTGCATTCGATCTTTGATTTGCTAATTTCCACCAAGGCGTACAGAGGTCGATGGACATATCGTGCATTCTTGGAAAATTCTTCCGAAATAATATCAGTTGACACCGAATCTTCCTGGTAGACAAGCTGCCAAAAGATTCCGTTCACACCGTTGATAAGACCCAATTCAATCGCAATATTTTGCGTTAAAATGACAGGCATTCCAGGAACAAGAGGTAATAGACCTGGTAGATGCTCCGTTTTGCTGTCAGATAATTCTAACATTTTTTTAATAAGTGCCCGATCTTCAATTGGTTTGCCTTTGCAAGTGTCTTGGGCAACGCATACTATTAGTGTTTGTCCCACTTGTTCTGCTTTATGATTAACTGCCTTATGGTTTAATTGTGTTCGTACTTCATTACGAAATACGAGAATCGGAGCCTAAAAACATAAAGAGGATGAATTTTCTAAAGCTAGCAAAACAAATTTACTTTATTCCATGGTGAATCACTTAGCAAAGGTATGGAAGATTGCCCCATTACTCGTGTTAACAATAATTCGTAGTCATCGTAGTTACATTCTCCACGACGAAGCCGTTCGAGCAGCTGAAGGTAACGTGGATCGTCTGTTCTCATCTGTTGAGTAAGTTTGACCACACAGTTGATTTGAAGAATTAAAGAACGTGCAACACGTTGTTGAATTTGTTTTTCAGTTGCTATCTTGTTCGATTTACTTTTGACCGGTAAAGAGAAATCTGTATGTAGGGGTACATCGTATACAGGTCGATATTGCAAGTAACCGCCGAAGAAGATGACATTTACACCACCAAATGGAACTTGAGGATCAGTATGTTTTGCAGCACATATAATTCGGTTGAGTTTTGCAAGTAGAGTTAAACCAACCATACTCATTTCATCAATTAAGAGATATTCAACGAGGGTCCATTCTTTCTCAAGTTTTAAATCGCCTGGTTTAATCATACGGGCTTTTCCTGAGTTGCGCTGTTCACCCAAAAATGAATGGATGGTCATGCCATCGATTTCAGCAGCAGCAATACCAGTAGGTGCTAACTTCCGCATCACTTGTATTTTTTTTGTAACTAAGAAGTATTTGGTAAGGGCACGAATCAATTGTGATTTGTCTGTGCCACCACATTCAGGTATGCACATTATAAGCTGACCATTATTGTCACCTGAAAATATAATGTACTTGAATATCTGACGACTTCTTTTATAAAGATTACCTGTACGACAACGATTATCACCATCAAGATGACCTGTTATGATCATAAATGCAGCCCGTTGTTCTCTGTTCAGTGTAAATTCATTGGCAACACTCGTCTGAGTACAAAAGTTCGCTTTGACTGATATAACTGGAGGAATTGAACCATATTTTCGCATATCTACGTATTAATATTGTTTAGAGTCACTACAGTGGCAACAGCACTTCTTGCAACATCCAAGTTCAACACACCATCATCGACTTTGTCATAGTTGCCCGTAATCAAACCTCTTCTAATCTGTTCTTTCTAAGATTTTAGCTGTTCTTGCCACTTTGTATTTAGCCGAACAAGATTAGGTGTTGCAGAAATAAATGGTACTAATGATTGATCGATACGATCGTTAGATTCATTTAAAGAATATTGGGGTGTGGGTGTGGGTATGGGTATGGGTATGGGTATGCGTGGGGTGTGGGTATGTGGTGTGGGTGTGGGTGTGGGTGTGGTGTGAGGTGTGACTGTTTGTTCTGATATGATGGTAGACCCACACCCACACCCACACCCACACCCACACCCACACCCACACCCACACCCACA